CATGCAAAAGCATACTATTTCTTTAGTCACGGTGTAGCACCCTTGTCTACATTCAAAAACTATTTCTGCCATTGAAAACCTTAAAAGGGTTTGTAGTATTTCAATCGAGAGATCAAAGGCAGGGGCCATTGAACTGAAATATCGGTGCGTTTAATATCAACAAATCTCTTACGGCCTGAACGTTACAAGTACCTTATCTTAAGGTGTTGCTACACTGTACGTAGTTTTCGACCACCCAGTTGTACTTTCTAACTTAAAACTACTACAACTGTTTTCTATTAAAATTTGCTAACTATATACCGTTGCACATAACAACCGTCGCGAGCGACACCAAAGCATTGTGCACTTTGCCTAATCAGCTATAGTTATTCCGGGCGACACTGATAGACGTTTGTCTATTTAGGAAACGGATATTACATTTAGACGGGTCTTCATTTGGCGGCAGAGGTGGGTAAGTATAAATCCGTATAAGTTTCCGGTGCGCGCGCGGTGCATAGCATATTTTGTAAGCAGCCGATGCGTATGCTAGGCGCTGGATGCAATAAATTTTTAACAGCTAACGCATGTTTTCATTCATGTGCACGTTAGGGAAGGAAATGTGTTTTTAGGGCGCAACGATTCTTTCCATTTCGAGTTACGAAATGTATTCGTGTAATACTAAAGCAAGTAGTCTATTTTTAACTTTCAAGAGGCCTGAAATAAGCTGCAACATTAAATGATTTCAAGTACCAATAAAGACGAGCCCGCTAAAAATGAGACAAGAGTTTAAAGGGCTCGTCAAATTGCAGTGGATGCAGATGTTAACCGCGCAGATGTCATTGTAATTCGTCATTCAAACTGCCTTTCAGACGTCATTTACGACAAATCTTATTATTGGGTACATATGTACGATCAATTTGAGTTGCAATCTCAATGTAATTATTTCCACGATTTAAAAATGAATCGAGCTATTGTCATGAATGTGTTTGTTTTGTACTGATTCGGAAACTCATAAATGTATATATATCATACAGCCATGATTACAAGACACTTACTTGAATGAACTTCGATCCAGCCAATGACCTTTGCATGATATCAAGTGAACGACATCGTTCATGTCTTGATTATCCCTTGACAACACTTCCTTTCAGCGCTGGGTATTTTGTTTGTGCTCGTATGAGGGATTATAGTAACAACTTAAGGGTATTGACCATTAATCCTCATGAAATAATATATTAAGAAAAGAAAATTACATATAATATATATATATATATATATATATATATATATATATATATATATATATATATTATATGTAACTTTCTTTTCTTGATAGAAAAATGCAATGAAATAGGGAATAGGGCATTCTTGTTAATTTTTTTTAACGATTTACCTCTATATGTGTATGCATACTACATACATATTACAATGTTCAATTTCAACGAATTCAAAGAATTCAAAAATTCAATACTTTTGAAGAGTAGTTAAAAGACACAACACAAGTAAACTTAACTAATTCATCGTCATTCGCAAAATGACACAAATGACTAGTAAAATTAAATTAAACTTAAGACATGGTTTAAAGAATATCATTAATATATAAAATATCATAAAAAGTTAAAGCTTTTTACAAAATAAACAATTATTTTATTTCTTAATGAAACAATTAACGGTTTTATTTAAAGCCCAGTCATTGACGTTCCCGGTACAAAGGTGCCCAACAATACATTGTTAGGGGCTTTGCTTTGCATATAAGGCAATGGATAACCTTTGCATCAAGAAAACCCCGGAACGAATTTCATTCATTTACTCTTTACAAAAGTTCACAGCTGAACAAGGGTTTTCTCCATAAATTTCCTCATAGGCGGGAACGTATGTCGCAGATTCGATTTCTGCGACACTAATAACCTCCAGGGAAATGTTATCTATACATATAATAAAACTGTAAATAGCAGATGTCTGTACATTTTATATTTTTGTAATAAAAGTGATTGAGGGGTACTAAAAATAAGTAATTAAATACATTTCTACCATTTTTAGAATTTTCTGTCTGTCTGTCTGTCTGTCTGTCTGTCTGTCTGTTTGTTTGTTAACGTATCACGTATAAAGTACTAATTTATATCATAAGAATTGTTAAGGAAATTATAAAGTGTATCTTCGGGTTACATTTAGTCTTTATTTCATTAAAATCAGTTCATTCCATCAAAAGTTATGATAAATATTCTGAAGTATGGGTAGGGAAGTATAGGTACGAATTTGCTCAACGGTGGCTTTGTTTGAGTCATCAAGTGCATTTTAAACTAATATCATATCATAAATCATAGTTAAATTATGTAAAATAATGATATAATTATGTATATCTAAAACGCAGTAAACAAAAGTATTAAAGAACGTATTAAATATATTATACAAAAATATATTAACCTTATTAACTAAATCTGAAGCACAATAGTTAACCCATTTCTTCGATAGATGGTGGTGTGGCATAAATGTGATACAAAAAGGCAGGTTAAAATTTATTCCTGTAGTTGAGTTTCATATTTGCTTCTAACCTTTATATTAATGACACGTTGCCCTACTGCGTGTTGACAATCTCATTTATTTTTTATTTTTTTACTGCCGAGTACTCTATGTGGTAAATCAAATTTTAAGAGCTATTAACAATTTCGTTTTTCGGCGAGGATCAAACTTTCTTTTTTGCTTACTATGCAGGCACTGATTTATAAGTTCTTTTATGTTTTTTATTGTATCAATCGTGTGAATTAATCTCTTATTTTTAGAATTGATGTTAACAGCGCCATCTCTCTTAAGTCTATACATATAATAAAAATGGTAATAACATGTTATGTCTGTTTCTGAATATTGTATAGTATATTAATTTGCGACTAAAATCATTATTGGGACTGTCAATCATTAAATAAGTACATTTTTATAATTTTTAGAATTGTACTATCTGACGGTCTGTCTGTTTGTTTATGGACGCATGACGTTTTGAGTAAACATCTTTTTTTTTTCAATGAAATCCTTAAGAAAATCATAAAGCGTATTATCAAGTTCATTTAATCTTTGTTTTATTGAAATTGGTTAATTCTATCGAAAGTCATGATTATTATTTTGAAATGTAGGTTCGAATTTGTTTAATGGCGCCACAAAATCTCAGAAATAGTAATAAAAAGATTCGTGTGTAAAAAAAACGTTCTATTATAATATATTTCGTATCGTTCTATTATAGTACTTAAAACACAGTAAAAATATGTTTTCCTTAAATTAAAAAAAGGATGTTTTCTCACAAAGAACGTAATAGATGGCGTTGTACAAATTACAACCTTTTCTGAATTGCGGTGTTAAGATTTTTCGCAGGTGAATCGTATTGAGACTCACTGTAATAATTTATGTCCATGAGCCTGACGAAGCCGCAAGCCTGTAAGGTATATATACAGAGGCATTGAAATATTTAATTATTCAACAAAACTCGACTAAAACTAAAAGTAGCAAATTGCAATAAATGTCGTGATGGTGATATTGTTTTATAGCCAGAATCACTCTAATACCAAATAACTTTTTTTTCACTTTTAAGTAAAGTAAAGTTGCAGCCTATTTACGTCCCACTGCTGGGCACAGGCCTCCTCTCATTTCTGAGAGAGTTTTAGGGCAAGGAAATGTCCACCGCGCTGCCCCAATACGTGTTGGCGAACTTCACATGTCATCGAAATATTATTTTTTATTTCTCAAACATGCAGGTTTCCTCACGATTTTTTCCTTCACCGCCGAGCACGTGGTAAATCAGCACTTAAAATTGCAATTGACAATTTCATTGGTGCCGGCGGGGATCGAACCCGGGTTGCTCGAGTACTGTGAAGCTTACAGCAAGCGCTAACCATCTGAGCTACCACGGCTCAGGCTTCAGTTTTAAGATAGGGATAATAACATCGATGTTGGCATCGCTAGCTCAACATCGATGTTCGATGTTTAGGCCACTCAAAACATCGATGTTGACCATTATCGATGGTTTTTGTATATGTGTAGATAGTTACACATTGTTTTAAAATTATGTGGGTATACACAGCAAGGAAAAAGTAACAATTAACTTGAATATCAATTTACGTAGAATAGTTATTATGCGACAACCGACAACGACACTACAAAATAAAGCGAATCAGTGACCATTGTGACATTACAGGAGACACTTGACAATTAAGTTTGACTCACCATACTGACATTTTTTTAGATTAACGATGCGTTCAGAAATTCTGAATTATTCAAAATTTTTAATCTTCAGAGCAGATGCAAGATTTAGTTGATATTGATTTCGCGAGTTCGCATTGTTTGCAAGTTCCCAATTATCGATTATGGGTTCATTGACGTCGATGTTTCGATGTTTGACATATATCAACATCGATGTTAAAACATCGAAGTTTTAATTTTTAACATCGATGATCATCTAACATCCCTATTTTAAGTGTGTTTCCCACTCAGCGTGTGTTATGCGACGATCGTAAATAAAGCGCAAGGTCAAACTTTACGCGTCAGTACTGATTGTTTTGCACATGGCCAGCTCTATATTGCTTTTTCTCGCGTTAGTAGTCCCCGTAACCTTTTTCTGTACGCCCCGGCTAAGTCTACTTCTATCGTCGTTTACACAGAAGCTCTATCATAAACGACTTAGAACTTTGAGAATATCGATTTATTTTGTTACCACTTATTCATAGAGTAATGATATAAATCGGTTAATATTCTCTTACCCTAAACGTCAAATTCTTTAAGTAAAACCTATATTCGCGAGCTACGCCGCGGGCACAGCTAGTTAAAAAATAAAAATAAACTGACTGAACGTAACATTTTTTAAATAAAGTTTATACCATATTAGGGTCATAATATATTATGTACCTAATATGGTTTTTAAGGCACATTTATATGCTGACATACATAAGTCAATTTAATACAGCCAAGTACACTTAATATGTAGGTACTAAGAAAACAAACATTGTACCTACTTATTTGGAAATACGCATTTGTTGCAGAGATGGAAGACATTGCGATTCTATGGAGTTCAGGTTCTCCCGAGAGTGCTTTGTGGTCGGACTACCTAGTCGCAAGTTTCGACAAAATCATGTCACAAAGAGCCAGACATCATTACAGGTAACGTAAAATTTAGTCATAAATATAAAGACCATTGAAAATTAGATTTATTTGCGCAAATAATATGACAAACTACAACACTACATGAACTGCTGAGCACAGTAGTTATTTTTTTTTATTACGAACATATTGTTACAAACTGGTGGCTGTTTACAGAGTCACTTCATCATCATCATCATTACAGCCCTTTACAAGTCCACTGCTGAACATAGGCCTTCTCCAAGGAATGCCACAAAACACGGTCCTGAGCCACCTGCATCCATCGACTTCCTACATATCTTACCAGCTCTTCACTCCATCTAGTGGGGGGACGCCCTACATTTCGTACGCCGGTACGAGGCCGCCACTCAAGAACCTTTTTTCCCCATCGGTTGACGGTTCTTCGAGCTATATGGCCGGCCCATTGCCACTTCAGCTTACTAATTCGTTGGGCTATGTCGGTCACTCTGCGGATAACCTCATTTCTAAGTTTACCACGCAGAGAAACTCCGAGCATAGCCCTCTCCATAGCTCGCTGAGCAACCTTGAGCTTCCTCATCCGGCCAGCAGTGAAGGACCACGTCTCAGTTCCATAGGTCATCATTGGCAACACGCACTGATTGTACAGTCTCGTTTTCAAGTTTTGAGGTATACCTATACATACACATACAGTTACTTAACAAGCATCATATCTTTCAAATCTAAACATATCTAAAAAATTCGAATTTGGCGGGTTAAGAAAAAAAATTTACTTTTTACATCATAGAGAGTTATTTTTAACAAGGCCAAATTTGACCGCGTAAACCAAAAAGACCGAGACCTAGAGCGAGATCTTTGTAGTGCAGCCCTAACTGAATACGATAAAAAAATTTGAAAAGAAGGAAGCAATTAGAAAGAGGAAGCTATGCGAGAAAATTGAGTCTTTGCCTCACGTTGCAAGACTACACAAAATATCGAAAGCTAAACCTAATCAAACCAGACTTCTTAGGAGGCCTGATATTATCTTACTAGGGAAATAGAATTTCAGTTACCAACGTCAACCTATTTCCTAACGTCACAGGTCTCTACTCTATCTTAAATTCTTCAACGGCCTACGAATGCCTTGTAATGAGGATTGGTGCGTATAGGATAATAATGACAGCTGATTGGCAAGCTCACACATGCTACACACATATGGTGCACTTTAATTGTATTACTATACATTGTGGGGCACATAATTATGACAAACAGTTTTTAAGGGGTTTGCCATTGTCTGGGAAATTAAATATGTAGGTTTACATGGAACTATAAGTTTGAAAATGTCTGGCCTATACAAACACCTATCCAATATCCCATTAGGACAACATGCTAGGCAAAAACCACATTTGGCACATTATTTATTGTTATAAGTCCCACATAAACATGACCAAATTTAAACTTCGTATCAACCTTAATCATGGCGTATAATCGTAAATTCGTGTTAGAAGCCCTCTGGAAGGATTAAGTAATAACAAACTGCGTGTTTTGGCAAGAGCTCTAGATATTGCTGTTTAAAAAAACGCATGACCATCTTGGGACTAAGCAGTTCAAGAGTTTGGCCTAGCGTAAGAAACACCTCAGCACAGCAAAGCACATCATAACTGAATCTTCTTTGATTCATTAAAATCTTCAATTCACCAAAGATGGGCATAGCAGTGAACTATAGCCATAGCAGCTATCATAATTGATCACAATGGTAGCAGTGATACTGGTCTCGCTAGATCAGCGTATATGTGTTGTGAGCCACTTGAGTCAATTAATACGGATATAAAAGTTACAGAAGCGATCAAAATATTTCTCAATATCCTAAATCTTTTTAAAATTCTAAATTCATAAATTCAATTTTTTTTTTCGTTTTTGTTACAGAGTTACGCCAATAACAGCTGAGGAGCTGCTATCGTCAGAGTCACAAGAAAAGCTAGACAAATTGTTGAAAGCTCAACTTCAGATTGTGATACTTTGCCCCAACCTGGACTCGAAGCTATCAGATTTAAAGCGGGAATTGAATATTGAAAATTTAGTCAAAGTAGACAAAGTTTTAGTAATGTTATTAGGAGTCGAAAAAGATCACGTTATATCTAACAATTGTGAAGGTATGCATTTTAATTTATTTTAACAGTAACTTTCTACACCCTCGTAATGATAAAGTAACTTTTTTTTAGTAAATAAACTGAAATATTCACTAACGATTTTGTAGATACTGATCAAATTTCTCAACTAATTATTTTAATTATTTTAATGATTAAATAGACCGTTAAAATATTTATCGCAGAATACCCAACAATCGATCAGTGGCAAATGATGTCGGTGCGAGAAAAGGATACTTCATTCGTAGATACATTTCTAACAGCCGCTGTCGGGATTCTAAGAACTAAAGACTGTAAAGATACAGCGTCAGATCGAACTAGTTTCTCTATAGTGCCAAAAAAAGTCAAAATTGTAAGTATAAAAATTATTATCATTTATGTGCACACAGAATAGAAGTTTTATTTTGCTAATATATAAACAAAAATGTACAAAAATGGTGTCATAAAAAACGGATAAGAGATATAGCAGAAACATCTCACGGTTTCTCATGGTACAGCCATCTCGTTTACGCCGAACGTACTCAAACCGGGATCAGGGAGCAACATTATAATTGCGAGAGGTCTTGTACTGTTGATCGTCAGTTCACCGAGCGTGACGACTAATAAATTCTTCCTACACCTGGAGAGCCCAAAATTAGTATTTGAAGTTAAAAAAATTCGTCTCTAGTCTAATTCCACTGGATTTCATTTTCTATTGTTTAGATTTTTCCACAATAATATTGATGGTGAAATGTGATTAATTTGATGAACTAGCGATTTTTTAGGTGGGACCGTTGCAAGTCCGAATTTCAACGTCGGGCGTGTGCGTTCGTGTGGTGTGCGTATGTGTGTGCGTATGCGTATGTGTGCGTGGGTGAGTGTGTGGAAGGATAGACGTGTGTGTGCACTTAATGAAAATTTTTATAATCCAAAAAAGGCATACTGAATTTACATTACATATTTTTCCTAATAAGTACAATAAGTTATAAAAACATTATTTTAAACAGGGGCAAAGCCGGGTTATAGCATTATTAAATGATCCTATTAGGGAGGAAGATAGCATAAAAATTATGGTGGACAAGAAAGGAGAGGTTATACATATTCCAACGTTCAAGAAAAGGAATCCATATACACTACAATTTGATATACCAGGTATTACCAATAAAATTAATAATGCTATATTTTTACTTTAAACTAATTTTTAAAAATGTGTTTCTAACTGGAACAAAAATATTGCACAAACCCGGAGACTAGGATTGAACGCCCCACTTTATATTTTCGACTATTTAAAATATATTGCTATTCATACTTAACATTTTGCCTCCTGGCTGCGTGCTATGTAAAGTTCATTGTTCCTGCGCAGAGTCGTGTTTGGAAGTATCAATGCTTGTGTGGGTACGAGTAAGTAAGAACGGACAGTCGCTGGGAAGAAGACAGATCAAATGTGAGAGTCGTTTGAGAGAACTGGATCAACTGCTACGAGCGTCTGATCACCCATTGGAGTTCATGTGTCAGGTATGAAACGTGTTTTTATTGATAAACTAGCGATGCGCCCCGGCTTCGTGCGGGTGATTTCTAGAGATTTGTGTGTATATTTAAGTTAATTCGAGAACGGTTTAGTTCCACAATTGGACCCGGTAGGTGGTGCTGTTTTCGAGATCCAGAACCACAAGCAGAAATCACTAGTGCGATGCCCGCCTTCGTATCGCTAGTGATAATATATATATATATCAAAACAAAGTTATTAAAAATCAAGTCCTAAGGCATTTAATTGGTCAAAACGCCTTATTAGGGTTTTATTAATTTCTTCAAAAATTATGTAGGTATTAAAATCTCTAAATATCTAAGATCTTAATGGAGTTAGTTATTCACAGTGCAAGATAAAGGACATTAAAAGTATTGAATGGTATTAGGTTTGGTCAAAAAAATATACAATTTGAAATTTTATAATTTTTCGCATAGAGTTGACAAACTTAATATTATTTAAATCAATGTGCTTACTATAATATGAGCCGTGGTAGCTCAGATGGTTAACGCTCGCTGTAAGCTTCACAGTACTCGAGCAACTCGGGTTCGATCCCCACCGGCACCAATGAAATTGTTAATTGCAATTTTAAGTGCTGATTTACCACGTGCTCGGCAGTGAAGGAAAACATCGTGAGGAAATCTGCATGTCTGAGAAATAAGAAAAAAAATATTTCGAAGACATGTGAAGTTCGCCAACACGCATTGGGGTAGCGCGGCGGACATTTCCAAAAACCCTCTTAGAAATGAGAGGAGGCCGGTGCCCAGCAGTGGGACGTAAATAGGCTGCAATTTTACTTTACTTTACTATAAGATTTAATTTATAAATTAAATAACCGGACCGGCGACGGGCAGCAGCTTTCGCGTTCTGTGATCGTCATTCGTCAATTCCTGCAAAGAATGACGACTAAGACTAATCCTCCCTGCAGTGAGTCTTACTAGACTTTTTTTTTTATAGGATAAGGATGACAAACGAGCACACAGTCCACCTGATGGTAAGTGGTTGCTGCGGCCTATAGACATGTACATCTATCTTCTATTACAAATCAAAATGCAGATGCGTCGTCAGCCGTGAGGACTAAGATGGAATGCCTCATTTCCAGTAAAAAGGGCCTCCGGCCACCTGCACTCACCAAGCGAAACGCAGAGGTAAACCTCTACTTCACGCTGGTATTCTGTGAGGTCGTGGTACTACCCCGGTTCGAGCCGGCCCATCCGTGCGACAGCAAGATACCGCGTGGCTCTACCACTGTTGAAATTCTTTTTTTTACAGGTCTAAGCCAGTGCTTAACTACAATCCCACCTCATGGTAAAAGCGGTGATGTAGCCGAAAATGGTGAAGCGCACTGACTTAACAAAATTCTATTCACTCTTCGTGTATAGATGAGGAAGAAGATATTGTATTGTGGAACATTGGCAAAATTCATATCTATTTTATTTATTTCAGACACTCGGGTTCAAGACAACGAATAAGGATCAATTGGACAGCTGGATGCTCAACGCTTTCCAGAAAAACATCCCGCCGCATTTCAACCTACTCTCCTCCTCCGAGCAATTTAACCCTAAAGCTGATGTATGCAGTGAGTGATTCTTGTTTTTATTGCGATCAATTTATCATAACATAAATAAATAAATACCTCAAACCTTTAAAACGAGACTGTACACCCAGTGCGTGTTGCCAGTGATGACATACGGAACTGAGACGTGGTCCTTCACTGCTGGCCGGATGAGGAAGCTCAAGGTCGCTCAGCGAGCTATGGAGAGGGCTATGCTCGGAGTTTCTCTGCGTGATAAACTTAGGAATGAGGATATCCGCAGTAGAACCAGAGTAACCGACATAGCCCAACGGATTAGTAAGCTGAAGTGGCAATGGGCCGGCCATATAGCTCGAAGAACCGATAACCGATGGGGAAGAAAGGTTCTCGAGTGGCAGCCTCGTACCCGTAGGCGAAGTGTAGGGCGTCCCCCCACGAGATGGAGTGACGACCTGGTAAGACATGCAGGAAGTCGATGGATGCAGGTGGCTCAGGACCGTGCTTTGTGGCATTCTTTGGGGGAGGCCTATGTTCAGCAGTGGACTTGTGAAGGGCTGTAATGATGATGATGATGATGATGAAATAAATAACCTATAGGAGTCACGCTTTGTTCCACTATAAATCTATTGCGATTAAATACGCTCAAAGTTGATTTGTGATAGGAAAAAATTATCATACTATTTTATAATAAGAACTCTATGGAAAAAAGAAAGACATGAGCCACATAGATAGATGTATGCAGCGCATGTCTATTCATCTTCTCGAAACTGTTCTTATCCTGCGCTCATAATGTGCGATTACTTTATTAACAATTTCACTCCAAGTCAATTTTCATAACACTTTCATGACCCGCGATCATTTTAATATTTTTCACGTTAAGAATAATAACATTATTATTTATTAAATGTATTTTTAGTGTGACTTCAAATGACTTGTTTAATAGGGAATGTTCAAAAATATCCTAAACAAAAAGCTAGTGCGCAATGGGAAGCAAAATGTCAGTTTGACAATCTTATTTTTATCCTGGGCGCATAGTAAATGTGTTTTACTTTCACATCTCGGTTTCACCACATATTACCTTAAAGAATACTGTATTATAAGGCCTTTTTTTATATTTGAAGTTTGGAGTAGTTCGTCCGTCGCTCTGCTCCAGTGCGCGTTACGCAGACTACACATGTTTGTTAGTTAGTTACATGCTTATATACGTCCCGCTACTGGGCATAGGCCTCTTCTCCCTTCTGAGAGGGTTTTAGGACAAGGAAATGTCTGCTGCACTGCCCCAATGCGTTTTAGCGAATTTTACAAGACCGCGAAATATTTTTTTCTTATTTCTCAGACATGCCGGTTTCCTCACGATGTTTTCCTTCACCGCCGAGCACGTATTAAACTTTGGTGTAGATTTGACATATTCTCGAAATATTTTATTTCTCAGAGGTGAAGGTTTTCTCGTGACGTTTTCCTTTATCGCATTATTCACTAGTGCTGGCGGGGATCATACTGGGTTGTCGTTTGACTATAGAACCCCATCTATTAACTTAGAGTCCCCCTGGTGGTAAGTGCCTACTACATCTCACTTTACACAATGCACAGATGCGTCGTTAACTCTAGACTTAGATGGAATATCTTACAGTCTGTAATTTTATAAACTCTTACACAGAATATAGCAGTGCAAGCACTATTTAGTGGCAGAGATAGATTAGGTGATAGATGTTACCTACCCAGACGGATTCCTAGCAGAAAAGGAGGTGTAATACCTAGATTAGGTACCGGTATTAACAAGGAGAACGTATCCTTTGAGTTAGCACAGCTGCACCGGATAAAACCATGTGTATTACCGGGCAGGCAACGAGGAGTACCCGACGCTGCTGCACTGGGCGGCGCGGTTCGGGCTGGAGCGCGTGTGCTGGCAGCTACTGGAGTGCCCGGGCGGCGGCGCGGCGGCAGCACTGCGCAACGCGCGCCGCCGCACGCCCGCTGACCTGGCGCGCGACCACCGCCACCTGCGCCTCGCCGACATGCTCGCTGACCACATGGTGAGCGCCTTGTGATTACGCCTCTCAACGAACTATGACAAGAAAGAGGAACTTGATAGATGCAGGTGTCTCAGGACTATGCTTTGTGGTAATCTATGCGGGAAGCCTTCGTTCAGCAGTGAACTTGTAATGGGCTGTAGTGATCCAATCTTCTTCTTTATTAACCCGCAACAGTTCAATCGTAGATATAATTTTTGCGAAGTCAGCTTCAATCTGGCTGTGATCGAGATAACAAAGAAAATCTATCGTCTAGGAATAATAATAATTGCGACCATGTACAATTTTTGTATGTTAAACGAGTCTCCGCATAAAAGAGAATTCCTTGTGTAATTTTTTAAGTGACACCCACTGGAAGCCATAAGACTTCTCTGGCATTACCTATAGTCGCCTCTCTCTCTCTCTCTCTCTCTCTCTCTCTCATAGTACGAAAAAAATATTTTCTTACGCCGACACACGACAGTTTATACTTTAGTTTATATAGTTTATAATTTTTAAAGCGGCACAACAATAACTTAAAGCACATATTCATTTGTTTTTTTTTTAATTTTCAGAAAATAAACGAATTCTCAAACATGTATTACTACTTGAAAAACATGTCTGACAACGACAAAGAAGATTGTCAAGAAGATGCAAAACAACAGGAGGAATTGCGTATTGTAGAGAACTGCGATACAGTTGACTCTCCCAGCAACGATCACCCCAAAACCTCGGGGAATGAACCGTCCACGGATCCCTTTAGCGAAGCATGTACTCAAAATTTAGAAGAACCATTAGAAAAAGCAGAAAAAACAGAAAAGACAGAGGAAATTGTAAAGAAACAACGACCCAATCTAAAACTGCCAAAGTTGAAGGAACAATTTTATCAAAACGATTTCTCGGCTCACGACGACACAGCGGGCAGGATACAACAAGCCATAGAACACGATTACTTAGTGCAACCGTCTAATATAAAAGTTGAAGAAAGTCCTAAATTCCGTCCAAATAACTTATATGCTAACAGTTCGCGGCTGTTACCACAGCAGTCTGAAATTTTCCTTTACTCACCCACCGAAGAAAGTAACAAATCCTTCAACATCGAAACCCCAACCAGTGATATAAGTCAAATTAATTTAAATACCAGAGACGCGCGGAATAGCGGTAGCCTGAAATCGGGAAAAGAAAGCTGCCCTCTTACAGGACAAGAGGAGTTGGCAGAAATAATAAATGATTTTAAAAATAATGTGTTCACCATATCGGAAGTAGAAAAGCTTGTAATGGAATGGCGAAACAGAAACGAAACACAACAGTCGATTAAAGAGAAACAAGAACAACTAAACAAAATGAGAGAAGAGTACGACAAAATTCAACAAAAAATTAAGGATAAAATGAAAAGACCAACGCCATTTGATCGAGTCAAAAAAATGTTTTCAAAGAGCAAAAGTAAAAGTAAGTGCCACACATCTATTAACTTCCGCGTATTGCCAGTAATCTTACCGAAGTCTAACAAGACTTTAAATAAGACTAATGGAAATGTTCTTCTCCTTGAGTTTCTTCCCAATAGACTTTAAAAAAATATTACTTTATCATATAATCCGTAAGATTTTGCTATAATAGTAAAAAAAAAATAATTTACTAAATTTCTTCTCCACACTAAATTTGAAGATAAAGTAATCGCTATCGCATCTATGAGAATAGAATGTTTGAAATGGATATAATAAACATGGCCGCAATTGTAGCATTATTAATATTGTTTACGGTTTTCAGATCACGACAACAACACGGGCACAATTGAAAAACGAAATGGTAACACACGACCTAACAGCAGTTTAAGTGATAGTAAGTAAATGTTCATTATATAATAATATTAAACGTGTAGCATTTGTCTTTATTTACCTACTAAAAACTCAGAATGGAACATAATATCAGAAAATAATTTGTGAACATAATCTCGAAAACACTGGCATTAAAGCGATTTTATATCTCAAGTTAGTATCCTATTACTTACTATACTTAGAAACATAATAAAGCGCTTTGATTATAGTACTAACTATAGTAAAAACATAATATAGTACTCTGACTAATGTAATTCCTACAGACTTGTTTGTGCAATCTGGATTATATGTACTTATTTGCGTTTTTCTATAAAATTTACTCTTTTTGAATTTTGATACAAAGCAGCTTAACTGAGATTAGTTCATTAAAAATAGTTCTAACGGCTTTTATGATGTACCTACAGTTAAGTAATTAATGTACAAATAGTGGACAGAAATCTCTCGATTTTTTTAAACGTAACTTCCACGCTAGGATTTTCTTCTGTATCGTGGGGGCAGTTTACATACATGAATTTTACAAGGACAAACATCCAGACCCGGATCAATTGTTTGTAGGCCATACAAATACTTGTTCCGTGCGGGAATTGAACCCGCGGGTCTTAGCGCTGCGACTCATTGCTAAGCCACTGCGCCACAGACCCGTCACGAGGTTAAATGAACCTCGCCTTCAACTAAATTAACCTTTTCAAGAATTCGCTTTCTCCATAACCCTCGCACTGTTGAAGCTGTTCCTCATCATAAATCTGTGAGATTTAGTTCAGATCTATCTTAAGCGACTATCTATCGAGATAGTTGTTTGTGCATAAGATATGCATAAACAACGGAACACACAAGTATTCAAAGTTACGGAACTTAAATAAAACACATGCCGTTTCTAGACATAACTGGCTATAAGGCTTTGCTTGACTACTATCCCACCTGATGGTAAGTGGTGATGCAGCCGAAGATGGTAAAAACACACCGACTTGGCTAAAAGTTACGTTGTCATCTTACCATTAAGAATAAAAAAATAGTAATAATTTATTGATGTGATATCATTGAGAATATAAGACAACAGAAATTAGTTTATTAGTTCGAGTCTTAGAATGGCTTTCAAAGTGGAATTAGTTGAACGAATGGCGACATTCTATGGTGTTGTAATGAGACATATTTTGTGTAAAACGAACATCTCTTGTGTAGGCTCATCGTCTTCGGGTCGCCTGAGCACAGTGAGCGGCGGGAGCGTCGCGGAAACTAACAGCGTGCAGTCCGAACATGACGACAAAGCCAGGTCTATTGTAAGTTGAAGTCATGAATTTGACAAATCTTATACATAATAATAATATATAATTTGTTCTTTATAAAAAAAGTTGAATATATGTAAATACAATTAATTAATTAGCAGGCTACTCAAAATAGAGAGAAAGCATGTGCCTGTATGGTAGACTAGCTTTTACGTTAGGTAGCTTCGTAGATCTCGAACGCGTAGAATTTAAACAAAAAAACCTGCCGTGTATGTATAATACTCGTAGATAGTGGACTTTGGGCAAGTAGTTCACAATTATCAAAAAACCACTTAGAACTCAGAACATGTTACAAATAAAAAATGAAGATCTATTAATTTCACGTAAATAAGATTTTATCACGTTCCACACACATAAATTCTCTGTAAAATGTTTTTTTTTATAGGATAGGGTGACAAACGAGCACTCAGTCCACCTGATGGTAAGTGGTTGCTGTGCCCATAGACATCTACATCTATCCTCGTTTGCGAATCAAAATGCAGATGCGTTGTCACTTGTCACCCGTGAGGACTAAGATGGAATGCCTCTTTTCCAGTAAAAAGGGTCTCCGGTTCTCTACACTCACAATACGAAATACATCAGTGTTAAGCTGCTATTTTACGCTGGTATTCTGTGAGAGCGTGGTCCTTCCCCAGTTGAGCCGACTCATTCGTGCTACAACTATACTACTAATATAGCTGCAGCATGGCTCTACCACGTTAAAATGGTGTTGAAAAACAAAAGATAAGTAAGAAAAATCCTCAATGCTTTTTGGATAAAATATAATCTAGATCATTACTTTCATTGCTATAAATTCCATCTATTAGTGAAGTTACATCATTCACATTCAACTTGAACTTGGAACTTGTCTGTCGGCCAGTTCTTATGGCTTCTGAAAGATAGTGGTATAACGATATCTATTACGTCTCGCGTAAAATACCCAGAGCTTCAAAGGAGCGAAACGTCTGGCACTGCGAGCATCAAACCGTCTACCGGGCGTGACGAGGTGAATTCTCACCACAACAAAGTCTCAAGTGCATTTATGGACTATTACAGTCTTTTTTTATATAGAAATAGGGTGACAAGCAAGCACACAGTCCACCTGATGGTAAGTGGTTGCTGTGGCCCATAGACATCTACATTTATCAAAATGCAGATGCGTTGTCAGCCTTGAGGACTAAGATGAAATGCCTCTTTTCCAGTAAAAAGGGTCTCCGGTTCTCTACACTCACCATACGAACCACAGCAGCATTAAGCTGCTATTTTACGCTGGTATTCTGTGAGAGCGTGGTCCTTCCCCGGTCGAGCCGACCCATTCGTGCTACAACTACACTACTAATATAGATGCAGCATGGCTCTACCACGTATAAAAAAAAAGTCTTAAGAAAACTTGTTGATTTTATTAATGAGTGTGTCTACTAATACCTTGCCGTGGTAGTTCAGGGGCTTAGCGCTCACTTTAATTTGCACAGTACGCGCGCTATCCATGTTCGATCCCCGCCGGCAGCAATGAAATTGTTAATAGCAATTTTAGATGCTGATTTTCCACGTGCTCCGCGGTGAAGGAAAACATTGTGAGGAAATGTACGTACGTGTACGATATGTGAAGTCCGCTAGTACACTTTGAGATAGCGCGGCAGACACTTCCTTGACTTAAAACCCTCTCAGAAGTAACAGGAGTTCTGCGCTCGCCTCAGTGAGACGTAAGAGTATAAAGACTGTAACTGTTACCTAATTGGCAGATGTCGAGTGCGAGCACGCTGTGCGAGGAGGCGCGGCTGGACGACTACCTGGTGCCGCCGCCGCCGCGCCCGCTCGCCGCCGCGCCGCACTTCACCACCTTCGGACACCCCAAGCACGACACCAGGTACGCGACCCACTCGCCCACTGACGATCTCTTTTGTTAAATCACACTAACTTTACCGATTTTATCACGTTTAATTTTAACTTTTTAATTCCCTACGTTTCGGGTGCTTTAGATCTATAGTCACAAGGAGCGGGGGGGGGGGGGGGGGTGCTACCTTCAAGTTTGAAATATTAATCTTCGGTCCGATCTACGCAGAACCAGTTTACAGTATCTTAAAGTCTTAAAGGATTGGGTTTAAATTTATTAATTATGGGATCCCAAGCAGATGGTAGCTGCCTTCTTCTTTTGAAATTAGGATATTTTTTTTGATTTCAATCCTCGCAAATCATCCTTGGTGGGAATTGATGTTCTTTTATTACGATTTCAACTTCATTCTTACCTAACACAAAACCAAATCTTACATATATTTAGTTTAGAATCGCAAATACTATACCTACTTATTCGAACATTTCTTCCTGTGTGTCGTTATTTTCATTATCCTGCTCTCTTCCTGAAGAGATAGTTGCTAACAGTATCTCATCATAAAATAGACGTTTTTTCAACAGGCACGTATTCAAGAAGTTTCTTAATATTCTGATTTTTTCCTGGTTTGATAATGATACATCCCTTGATAACAGATGATGGGATCTGCCGTCATCTTACCACCCATACCAACACGATATAATGTAATCTTTTTAAAGTTTTGACCTGTCATGGAAGTACTAAATTCAGGGTGTCGAAATCTTTGAAGTCGTACTTTCCGGCATATTGATATTCCGCTGATTGATGGTTTAACATGAGTTTCATACATGCCTTTGTAATTCTTAATTTGTAAAACTTGATTTCCAGCATTTTCTTCATCTCTAAGATTCTTTTCAAAAAAGACAACTTTGAATTTGCGTGTATTGTGTGAATTTTTTATCATATCTATGTAATAGCCAGGTGTATATACTTTCCGTTTTAATCCGCTTTCTCTCTATGAGCTCAAAATCTCGATCTATTCGCATCATGCTATATCCAGGATTCGGGTAAGAAACTGTTACTTTTTGAAAGATATTATTGGCACATAATTGATCCAGGAAAGTGAACAGATAACGATTCTTATTTCGGCTAAAACATTATACATTGAAGCCGTGTTGTTAGAAAGATCGTGAATACCTATGAAAATTGTGTAACCACAGTCAGGCGTGTCACTTTGTAAAAATCTGAGGTATGGAAAATGGTGGCGCGATTTTCAAATTTGTTCGCATTACTCGTGGGGTATTAAGGTTTAAGAGTTTGCAGTGTATATACTCAACTTATTTATTGAACTATAAGATGTGGGGTATTGAGGTTTAAGGGCTTGCGATTTATTTATATGGGGTTTGTAGTAATATGCGATTTATTTCCTAATTTCAGCTATGGAATTCCATACCTTGAAAAACTTGAGGTATGGAGTGCTCCATACCTTCCATAGTGGAAGTGACACCCCTGACCACAGTTGACGTGAATAATATTTTATAGAGAAATTAGTAACAGTAGTGGCAAATTCTTCTGATAATCAAAACAAAGCGATAGTTTATGATTTTGCTTATCAGTTTCAGTTTTTGTGGTTGCTTTCAAAAAAACTTCAACCTTTCGCAGATGAAGTTATTTTTCTATTTTTAAAGAATTAACAGTTTGGACGTCTTACTTACTTGCCCTATTATTAAATGAACGGGTTTAATTGCCATGTTTTGTTTTTATGCTTTGCGAAAGTAAATCAAAACAAAACAAAGTAATTAAACCCGTTTATAACTTAAATAATAGTGTAAAAAGTGTTTAAAATCATAGCTTACTTACCTTTTTAGTTTATCCTCTGGTCCCCACTCACGGTCAGTTAAACTGACATCAGTTCAACTGATGACTTCAAACGGATTTAATCCAAAAAAATTTCGACACACACGGTCAGTTCAACTGATCATTCCAACTGATCAGTTCAAACTAGGGCTGTTGATATTTTTAAAATATCGGATTTTCAATATATCGATAATTATAAATATATCAATATCGGAGTTTTATATATGGGATACATAAGCGATATATTGATGCTTATTGCTTAAAAATGATTCACACAGTTTATAATTTAGTATATTTATTAAACAAATTAAATTGTAAATGTATGAAAATGTTAGGTTATAGTTTTTAGTAATTATTTTACTAAGAACTATAACCTAACTATTAAAAAGCCATGGTAGCTCAGATGGTTAACGCTCGCTGTAAATTTCACAGTACGCGAGCAACCCGGGTTCAATCACTGCCGACACCAATGAAATTGTGAATTGCAATTTTAAGTGCTGATTTACCACGTGCTCGGCGATGAAGGAAAACATCGTGAGGAAACCTGTATGTCTAAGAAATAAAATAAAAAAATCAGAAAACGTGAAATTCGCCAACACGCATTGGGGCAGCGCGGCGGACGTTGCCCTAAAACCCTCTCCGAAGTTAGGAGAGGCGTGCCCAGCATTGGGACGTGTATAGGCTGTAACTTTAACTTGAATTATTGTTTAATTTAAATAAGACAATTATGTTTACCAATATTTGTCAGTAAGAGTTTTCAAAAATATTCGTTGTTTTATATGTTCAGCTGTTTCAATACTCCAATTATTGGGCACTAAAAGATTGATTGTAGAAGTAATTCGTTCAGATGCTTTGGATGCAGCTGAAGAAATCAAGTATTTAACAGCCATTTCTGATAGCACGGAAGTAAATCATAAGACGCCTAAGCGATTAAAATAACTTGAGGCTTATACCAACATCGAAGCACTTATTTCGTCGTTTTCTCTAATATCTCACATGTGCAGACACTTAATACACATAATGGCATCACTTTGATAAAAATCCACTTCAAGCGATTATTTAAACGATAAAACAGGAGCAACCATCCGTCGATGGTCAAGCTCCTGCCAAAACTCACAGTAAGTAAAGTAGTACTAAGTTTCATAAATTATAGTGATTTTAATACCACAGAGATATACTTTACAAAATTACATTTCTTTTAAAAAAAATATTTTAAAAAATATATCGACTGTCGTATATTTCAATATCAAACTTATATTTCAATATATGTCGTCAAAAATATTAGAAATAAATATCGGTATTTCTAAATAATAAAATAGATTTTTCGATATATCGATATTTTATGAACAGTCCTAGTTCAAACGTGGGGCGTGGCCGTGGGCGTTTGGTTTGCGTGACTCCTATAAAATATCACTTTATAAGAGACTTATTTAACAGCATTTCCTGACTATTAATATATATCTATACAAATAAATAAAATTGAAGTGTCTATATATAATGTCAAAATAATAGTTTTTTACTAAATGCATATGAAAGTACATACGGTACTTATAACAAAAACACAATTTTTAAAATCTTTGTCTATCTTTCTTTCTGTCTGTCTGACTGTCTGTTTGTTCCGGCTAATCTCCGAATCGGCTGAACCGATTTTGACGAGACTTTCAGTGGCAGATAACTGATATTATATGGAGGAACTTAGGCTAATTTTAATTTAGAAAAAGAATTAGGGTTCGATGCAAAAAAATTAAAACCCATGAAATCCAATCGTAATAAATTACACGCGGGCAAAGTCGCGGGGAACAGCTAGTTAATAGATAGGAAATGATATTTTTAATTTATAGGAGTCACGTCAACTAAACGCGCACGGCTGCGACTTCATCGATCGAGAAATGAAATCCGTTCCGTATATAGGTATATAAATAACGTTTCCTCTATATTAACACTTCAAAAGATATTTTTATTCATGATAAGGTCAGTATTAAGACACTTTTAAGAAATGGGTCAGATATTATGATAATTTTACTCATTATGGTAAATTTTATTTATTTATTAAATGTGTTATTTATTTTTATCTGTTTATTAAATTACCTATCTGTAGAGCGGGCGACACCCCACTGATACTAACTTGCACTCCTGTTATGGTGAACCCAAAAAAATCCGTGGGCATGGGCACATTCTGAAGGTCTTATGATAACCAGATAATGCTTATCGGTTTTTAGTAATGGAAATAGTTAGGATGGCCTAGTTTTCTGCCACTGAGATCCTATATCCACCTTCGGATTGCACCATCAGAAAGGTGAGATCATAACAGTCACCTAAGTCTTTATGAGCCCTTTCAAGTGAGTTCAAACACAACCGTTCTATCTAGTGCAGCCACTGAGATCCTATATCCACCTTCGGATTGCACCATCAGAAAGGTGAGATCATAACAGTCACCTAAGTCTTTATGAGCCCTTTCAAATGAGTTCAAACACGACCTTTCTATCTAGTGCCACCACTGAGATCCTATATCCACCTTCGGATTCCACCATCAGAAAGGTGAGGTCACAGCAGTCACCTAGGTCTTTATGAGTCCTTTCAAATAAGCTCAAACACGACCGTTCTATCTAGTGCCGCCACTGAGATCCTATATCCACCTTCGGATTGCACCATCAAAAAGGTGAGATCATAACAGTCACCTAGGTCTTTATGAGCCCATTCAAATGAGTTCAAACGCGGTCTTTCTATCTAGTGTCGTCACTGAGATCCTATACCCACCTTCGGATTGCACCAACATAAAGGTGATATCATCCCAGTCATCTAGGTCTCCATTTACCTATTTGAAAATGAGTCCAAACACGATGGTTCTACGTAGTAGCATCACTGAGAACCATTACCCACCTCCTGAGTCCACCATAAGGAAGGTGACATCATTACCATCACCTTGGTCTCCATCCTCTGTCAAACCAACTTCTCTAAATATATATGACGGCTCCCTGGCGCAGTGGCTTAGCAATGAATTGCGGCACGGGTTCGAATCCCGCACGGAACAAGTACTTGTATGGCCTACAAATGATTGTTCCGGGTCTGGATGTTTGTCCTTGTGCAATTTGTGTTTGTAAACTGCCTCTGCGATACAGGAGAAAATCCTAGTGTGGGGGTAACGTTTTTTTAATAAAAAAAATATATAAAATAATATAAAATCTTAAAACATGTTATAAAAAATTATAAAATATATATAAAAGCTACTAAGAAAAATATGTACTTACCAATAATGGAAACGAACTGAAGCCAGCGGATTACGGTGCGCCCGGAAAAATACGTGGGTTGCCGTCAGTTAAAAATTGTAACTTAAGATTTCACATTCACGATCAGTTTTTGGATGTACGTCAGTTCAACGGAGCAGTTTAACTGACAGCACGCCCGAATAAAATCCGTGTGTTGCCTTCAGTTAAAAATTTCAACTTAAGATTTCACATTCACGGTCAGTTTTTGGATGTACGTCAGTTAAACTGTTCAGTTTAACTGACCGTGAGTGGGGACCATAACATTTTGTAATCAATTATAGCCCTTTTTTACAGGATTCCGTTAGGGTGACCAGAATACATAGATTAAAAATAAATCGACTTAGTGACTAGTGATTAAAAGTCAATGGATTTAGATATTTGTTGTCTGTTGTCTGTCTGTTGATTTAGTGATATACTGAATTAAATTGACAGGGTTTAGTGATTTTTGGAAATGGTAAAAACCTACTTAGCATCATTTGATTGAAATAAGAATCAGGCCAATCCATAGAGAAATAAACAGAGAATTTTTTGAGCTGGTAATCTTAATAATATAAAAATGGACTTAGTGACTTTTAGAACTAAGCCATGCAATTGGTTGGGACGATCTTAAACATGTTGACATATTGCAGACTTCCCGTATCAGCTTTATGTTCTTTTATACGGGTGTTGCCACAATAAATATATTATTTATTACTTTGTGTTTAGGGGTCAACATATGGCTACGATTGTCGAACGTGAAGCGTCCGCCTCCCGGGAAAGATTGGACTGCGAGTCGGACGCGCACAACGGAACCCACTTACGATTGAACTTTGGCCCTCGTGAAAAGGCGGCGGGCAGATGTGACGACCGTGATGCCGCACACATGTACATGAACATATCTGCTACGCATACATAATATTTCCGCGATTAAACTCAATGTACACAAACGTCTATTTGTAAGTTAGTATCCTTATATAGGGCTTATGTAGGACAAGTTGTCCCTTTATTTATAAACAAATTGGAAGTCGTATAAGTTTTAACATAAGATATCAGCAATATTATGTCACAGGATTTAAATAAAACTAATTTTACGGATTTTATCGCGTATATTAACTTATTTTTATATTCCCGACGTTTCGGGTGCTTTCCAGCACCCATGGTCACGGGGGATGTCGAGTGCGAGCACACTGTGCGAGGAGGCGCGGCTGGACGATTACCTCAGTCCCCCGTGACCACGGGTGCTGGAAAGCACCCGAAACGTCGGGAATATAAAAATAAGTTAATATACGCGATAAAATCCGTAAAATTAGTTTTATTTAAAAATGTGTAGTGTTCGCGTAAATATAAGAAATCACAGGATTTATTTTATATTGCTCGCATTTGAAATTTATAAATATCTTGTGTAATCAAGCATGCTTCACCGAAAACTTCTCTTGGTAAAATGATCTCAAGGACCCCTATTTACTGTCGTATATGTCTCGTAAAAAAAATAACAGTGCCAATCTCGTGATTGTCAGCCCTTGACTATTCGATATATAGATACTAAATTATCATATTATATTCTGCTAAATATGTTACAAAATTTGTGTAAATTAAAACTTCAATATATATAATAAACATGTATTATATATAAAGTGGAAAACTTTATGCATGTATGAGGCCCGCCACATACATACGGAATTCCGTTTCCGAAGAACGAGTCGGCCACACACATACGGAATCCCGTTTTGCCCGCAAAATTTAGAACGGAAAACTACTGTACGTGTGTGACGGGTCACAGATTTTATTGAACTTGCTGCGTTCGGAATCTCGAATCGGAATCCCGAAACGGAATTCCGTATGTATGTGGCGGGCCTTATGCATTATATAGTTAGTATTGTAATTACAAAGCTGTAAAGTATACTTATACTCACAGATAAATTATGTACACATCCTTATTGACAATTTCCATTACAATATTAGTATTAAAATTTTAAAAGCAACACGACGAAATGAAATAAAATTATTTTTATTCTTTTTATTTAATTAGTCTAAAAATAGCATTAATTGTAATGCGCAGTGCATTAACTCTAAAATAAGACTGAAAAACATTATCTGAATCATCTTTATGTAAATATGGTGTAAATAGATACGTGTACCATTACTAGATTTAGTTTTTATTTATTATCGTATCTGTAAGAACATTATTAAACGGTACAAATGTATCGATTTGGTATTTTATTATAGTTGTCAATTGAAGAGTGATTTGTGAGGGAAAGTGCAAAAAAGGATTATGAAAGTAAAAGAATGTTATTTTAATTATTTTATTAGCAATATATGTTTAACTTTCCCAAAATGCATTTATACCTGCCTACATACATGAATAAACTTTTAAGTCAGAAACGGTTGTATTGCATTTACCCGTCATTTCGTATAAATATATTTGAGGCCGTTGATTTAACATATTTGACAATTTAAAACCGTTTAAATAAACATGAGAAAATCGACAAAACAATAAATTATGACTTACTATGTACTCGAAAAATGGTGCAACACGAGCCACCGGCGTATCGGAGGGGAGTAGCCATACGCAGGCGTTTACGTCTGTTAAAATATAAGTCGACGCGATCCTATGCTTACAATAACACTAGTCACAGCCGTACTGCTCACGAGACCAAATCTAGTTGCGTGACTGAATGGAAGCTTTTTTGTTTTATAGGATAAAGGTGGCAAGCGAGCACATAGTCCATCTCATGGTAAGTGGTTACTGTGGGCCATACACATATACAACTATCCTGGTTTGCGAATAAAATGCAGATGCGTTGTCAACCGTGGGGACTAACATGGAATGTCTCTTCTCCAGTAAAAAGGGTCTCCGGTTCTCTACACTCACCAAACGACAATGAAACAATAATGCTGAATTATTCAGGTTGGTTTTGGTGCAGAAGAGATCTACCACGTCAAATTTACATTTCTTAATGTATATACCTTTATATATAAAGTAATTTTCAATCAAATTATTGCTATTTACTTCTTTTCAAACTTAAAAATTACAATAATAAATGTCTTGTATCAGATTTGTTTACCGACACAGGCCGCTCGCTCTCATGCCATATGCAGATCGATCGAGCAACTGATCCGAGACTGTACCCGGAGTTGTAAGTGTCACCGAGTACTGTGAAATTGTTAGTTTATTGTTTTAATTGTTATGTGTAAGTTTAACAGTGACAGACAGATTGTTTTTTGTGTGGGCAGATTGATTCCCGCAAAAAATAACAGTCAGTTCTGTATCGAGAAAAAACGCTATGGCTACTCCCCTCCGGTTCACCGGTGTCTCATGTTGCTCCATGACTCGAAACAATTATTTTCCATTTAAATACATACCTAATCGATTTGTACATTTCGAATACTTTATGTGGCAGTTTATGCACATACGTGCCAAATTATTTACGACCATCAAATATCGCCTTCATTGCTTCATTGGTATATTATTAGTACGTAAAAAATTAAATGCGTTCCAATACAAAATTACATAATTTTTAAAAGTTACATTAACCACGAAATATATCACATTATTTGTCTTTTAACGTTTAAATCCGATAAAGATTACTTCAAGCACATGAATAAAAGTTTTATGTGGCTTAAAATATTTTGTACGAAATGTTAATTCGATATAAATATTAAAGTTGTTATTTATTATCATAATTATAAAAATGGTAACGTAAGGTAGGCCCAAGTATTTTACGAGCGAAACGAGTATTAAAAACAAACCAGTATAAATAATCATAAAATGCAAACTTATAAGCTCTTATAAGACAAACAAACAAAGAACAATGGCAGCAAAATAGTTGACAAAAATTATTGTGTCTAGAATTAAGTTATATATAAAATGAATTTTATTATTTTTTTATGATTTTTCAAAAAAAAGCATTTTTGGGAATATCAAACTACTTAAATAATTTTACTCTATTCAAGTGTTGTCATTATAGTAATATTCATACTATTTTCGTATGCACTTTGGAAGACTGCCAACACAACACACAAACACAAAATATTTTTATATTAAGTTATTATTAGTAATAACTATACTATAAAGGTGATATGGTTGAAAAGAAGTCTCTTACAAAGAACTTCCTACAATAATACATTATCTCAATCATAGTAATATGTAACAATTCCATTTAATGTTATGACAACACTAGCTAAAACAAAATGTCAATGTTTTTTTTACTGACTTTACGACTCTGGGTTCTAGCCCTTCTGAGAATGTCACTGTAAGATACAAAACCCTTGATGGCATGCCAGAAATATACATTTATAGTATGCAAATATATGATAGAGATACAATAATCTAAAAACTCTCAAGTATGTAGGTAGGGTACGTTATGTTGAAAATGTATTAAGCTAACATCAAACAACCACAGGACGCATGACTTTTTCCAAGTGACATAACCTAAACAGGTTCAAATCTAAATATCTTTTTTTGACGCCTTCTCAGGACATAATTCTTTGACAGAGATATTAAGGGAGTGACGCTTAACATTTTAAGATATTTTTAATATATAGACGCTACCATTCATTCTCAACAAATTTTATGTATGAAAGTCTGCCATTGTTCTTTCAAAATATTTATAATGATATTGTAAAACTTGTTCCTTTTAAGGATTTGAAATACTTGAGCCCTGTTGTGTTAGTCTCACAACGCAGGCATGCACTTAAATAATAATAAAAGAAAAAACGTCAAAAACAAACATTGGATTAAAAAAAATTTAAGCTATTTATCATATTGATGACTATATGTCAATAATTCTTTTAAATAATTGATGCATACACGTTATCTAAAGTTTCAATCCAGTTTTTTTTTTTCAATTTAATTTAAGTTTAAGTACTCTTATTTAGAAGATTGTAGCGCGCCTTAGGTAAAGCAACGTAAATAACGCAACGCTAATAGAACAATCGTGATTCTTTGTAGCGCGCCTTACGAGAAAACGGCGTAGGCACGAGGTTGCTATTAAAACATCCTGAACATTGCGACTGCATTAGAGAAAGCAACATAGTTCTTTCACTCTCTGATAATGGACTTGTACTGTTCTACTATTTCCAGTATCAAATAATAAGATTGTTATTTATAATAATTTGTTCGAAAATTCTTTTTGCATTTCAAATTGTATTAATGCGTCACATTGCAAAGTTTTTGAGTTTTTGACGGAATGTTGAGCCAGTAGACAGTTGATGCCAATAGTAGCTCAAGGCGCCTAAGCAGCCTAACAATTGTCTTGAGATGCACATCAGTATTGTGGAGCACTCGTTTAATCATTTTCAGTAATAGTTCATATGTGCAGACATTTAATAGACAAAATCACACCACTTTAACGGATAAAAATCCACTTCAAACCTTTAATTAAACAGTAGTACAGGAGCAGCGATCCCCCGGCGGTCAAGTTCCCTCCAATAGCAGCCACGTAGTTACTGATACATATCGTAACGTGCCATAAAGATAGGGACACAGTTGCTGAAGAAACATTCCCGATTCCTGTCACGTTATATCCACGCTTCTGCTCGTGCGGATGAACAGTAGGGTAGGCCCGCAGCCGCTAAGTGATCCGAGCTCTCTAAGTTTGTACTGTTCCCGTGCTCATACGTAATTGTAACCGTAACGAGTATCTATTATAATACTGCCGTTAGTGTTGATAATACGAGATTATATTAAATGGTTTAAAAACATTTAAACCTCGTAATTTACACCATAATGTCTCTGTATGTAAACATTGCAATTTATAATTTTTAGTAATTTACATTGAAATAATTCATACAAAAATATTTCTAAATACGAGTAGCTAAACATTATTAATTCAAAAACTTAAGAAGATCTACAACACATTGCAATGTACCTAACTGTTAAAGTTCTAAATTTTCATTTGTTATGCATATAAAGAG